TTCAAAACTACACATATACATTATCGAATCCGCGAATAATTAACTACAAATAGAATTTTTGTAGAGTTAATAATTACTGATGAAAAAATTTGAAAAGAAGTGAAGTGACGCATGCATAACGGCGGTCGTCAAAGGGTTAAATAGAGAAAATCTTCTAGTTTTGTCTGCCATATTAACTTTTCAGATTTGACGAAAATGAAGCAAGTTATGGCTTCGGAAAGTGTAAAAACTCGTGCTCATCTCGAATTTTCCTCGTTAATTGATCTAAATTTGTTATTTCTTATAATTTTTGTAATTTCAATACTGATTAGAAAGAGCTCTTCACAAAACTCCCAAATCTGCTTTCAGATTGAAAATTCGTCATATTTGAAGAAAGTTATAATCATTTGAATATTTGTTCAAATTTCAATAGTGGTTAAGCTGGATCCCTCGGGACGTCAAACGAACACCTGGACGACCGCCGGCCCGATGGTCAGACTTCTTCACGAAAGCTCTGAACGAAAGGAATGAAGGACTTCGTGTCCCTAGGGTCCACTGGACAACTCTTGCACGCGACAGGGACGAATGGAGACGTTGCTGGCGCCCGCTCGAGCAATTCGATGATCAACGGGACGACAGGTGATACAGGTGATGTGTAGACATACAGGGTGACTTTAAAGTATGGTACTCCAAATTACACGTCGCCTGCTGACCTGTAAATCCCTGTTTCAAGTTGGTTATATATGCTTTTGGATGAAGACATCTGTCTTGCACCACTGTCGAATTATCACGACTGTCAGTACAAACACCTCAAAGAAATGCGACCGTTTCCTCATCCAGCCACTATTGACGAAGGATGTTCCGCCGCGGAGATCGCAAAAAGGCTGCACATCAACGACAAAACGGTGAGAAGAATTGTGGTCAATACAGGAAGAGAGGACACTACCTACTTCTTCCAAAAAAGGCCAACCGAGAACTGTTAATGTTCCACGGATTCGAAACACGATCAAGAAGAGGATGAGCCAAGGTCTGTGTGAACAGAATCGCTTCGGATCTGCATATCTCACGAAGAAGTGTTCAATAACATCGTTAAATTCCGAACTGGATACACAGTTACCGCTTCTTTCAAGGACAGATGCTCAGCCAAGCTGTCAAGAAGAATTAACTGGAAAAATGTAAGAAGCTTCTCTCAGCAGTTCGTGCGGGCCGCCTCTCAGACATCGTCTGAACTGACGAGAAAATCTTCACGGTCGAGGTCGCGCACAACAGCCAGACCAGCGGCAACTGCTTTGCCCGGCAGGAAAAACTCCAGAAAACGAAAGGGTAAAATCTAGGAGTCTGTTCCCGAGTTCGGTGATGGTCTGGGCCGGAATAACATTAGAAGGGAAGACACCTCTCGTTTTTGTCGGTAAAAACATCAAAATCAATTCGGAAACCTATCATACTATTTTGGGGGACACGGTGTTGCCGCGCGCCCATAAACACTTTAGTGGACGAGATTTTACTTTGCAACAAGACTGGCTTGCCAGCACATGGGTCGAAATCTACGATTTTCTTCTGTCAACGTCATTTTCCTGGATTCTGGGATAAGGAATGTGGCTCTCTAACTCCCCAGACCTTAATCCAATGGACTTTTCCGTGTGGAGCTATCTGCAGCAGGGAGTGTCTTCTTTACCCACCGCAGTTTAGATAGTCTGAAAGCAGCGTCACAGAGGGAATGGCAGAATATTGATATCCTGGGGCCTACCGTGGAAGCCTTACCAAGACGTTGGAAGCTTGTATTCTGGCCAAAGGCGATCACTTCTAAGAGTACATCGAGTAAATGTTCCCGCATTTAGATCTTACCATTTGACAAAATTTCTTGAAAAATTACATCTTATTTATTTTTTACATGCAAATAAAAACCGGACCATACATTGTAGCAGGGCCGGTCCCATCGTTGTTACTTTTTCAAAAAAAATTTACGATCCCCCCCCCCGAGGTGGACTTGATACGACCCTTTTTCGAGACCTCGAAAATAACTCCACCCCAACCAACTCAACACTCAACCCGCGAACTCCGTCCCACTTTTTCCTCCAAAAATTGCCGTCGAGCGCGGGGGGGGGGTATATAGCTACTCCGAAAGGAAACGAAAAATTCTCGAAAATTTCCTATAATTTCCTCTATTTCCACCATTTCACCCCTACTTTTACCCAATTTTACCTATCTTCCCACAACCTCATTTTCTAGGGGGGAGGGGGGGGGGTATACGCACGCTGAAACGGCGAATTTTCTCCCATGCGCTCCCAACTCACCTAGCCTACTACTCGTGAAAACTCCACTTTCACCACAAACTCACATGTACTTTCACGCGACTGAAGCGGATACGACCCCCCCCCTCCTATAAACTCAACCAGGTACGACCCCCCCCCCCGTTGTACTAGTATAACAACGTAGGGTTTGACCCTGCTCTGGCCTCAGTGTATATACCTATCTGTAGTATACATTGAATATTCTTTTATCTGCATGCAATAGTGAAACGGTGCAGGCTTAAACTATTTGAAATTCTGAAGTCTTCTATAACATATTTCAGAATTTAAAAAGTTCCATCGAGACGGGGCTATCCCAGAGCACGATATTGCGGATTCCGCAACGCATGTTTGACTGCAGACTAGCCACTGCGCTTCAATTACTAGACGGAGATAATTAGGATCTATCCAGCAGGAATGATCATAGCGTTCTCACCCATTATCCAAGGTCCAAGCTGTGACAGCCAAAAGAATAGCTGGAGTCTGGAAGCGATCCTTATCATGTCCTCTTTTTCTTCGTCAATATAATCCCTTAATGGACTATACATACTACTACGGGTTTTTTGGGAAGTGTGCGACACGAATTAAATCAAACACATGAACTTATAACATATAAAACGTGCGAAACCCCAAATGAAAGCAAGCCGAATTGAGAGATAGTCGCCTGCGGCGTTCTTCGGCCGATTCGAAGACCGTGTGGTCCGCTATGCGATTGCACAGGATAAGTCCTACCCACCGCGTGATAGCTGGATCCGAAGGTGTTATGCCGTGGCCGTCGATTCTAATTGTTGTATTATGGTCTTAGATCTTCGCTGAGCTCGTGGTATAGAGACGATATTTAATGGGATCTATTGCTATAAGGGGTAAGGGTGTTGTGATGCAAGCGCCGGCTACCCAAATTTTGGAGGGAAAGAGAATCTCTAGGGTGGGTGGCTCGTAAAAAAACGAGACTAAGTGGAATTTCCTTATTCTAAATGTCTATAATTTGATGAACTCTACCGTAGCTATTAAACCCTGCATGCTCTGGCCTGAAGACCTCTTTTGGAAGACGCCAACCAAGGGCGCAATGTGGCTCAGGGGGGGCACTCTGAGAAAAGTCATCTAGGACTAAGCCTAAACAGCAGGGACGAACTCCGGAGAATACGAAAATTGCTTCCGTACACCGGAGTTCCTCTCCTCTTCAAAAGCTTAGTCCTAAAACGGAGCGTTTCCGTGATTTTGACGCGATGTTGCGAGGTGGCCCCCCGAGCCACATTGCGCCCCCAGCTCTGACAACTTGATGAGTGTGGTTGTATTTGGTGGTATTTCTGTGTATCCCTTTTTCGATTATTGTTCTAAACGAAATCTTCTTCAACATATGTAAATGAGAATTTATTACAGCGGGAATTGCAGCTTTCATTCTGAATTGTACAATATCAGTTTACTTTCCCAACTAAGTCGGACCTCAACTGAAGCAAATACGAGTATCGGACGTTGAAGCGGATCTCGTTTTGTGATTAGAAGAGTCAAGTATTATTGCGCATAAAAATGAGTGATCAAGTGGGAGATTGCGAAAAGATAAGTTTTCCTATCAATTCTACCATGTTTTCTTCCGTTTACGTTGAGAAATTCAGGGCGATGACAGCTTGAATTCATCGGGAATTGAGGTGTCTCGGGAGGCTCCAGCTAAGACACCCACTGGGATTGACGATTTTTGCGACGAGGTTATATTGGAAGATGAAGGTAACTCTTCACCCTATTCGGTTGCTCATTAGATATATAGTAGACCTGTCCCAGGCTAGAAACGACGACATGAATATCAGCTGGTGTCACAAATAATTTTTAACCAATGCACGCATTCAAAAGAACACACTGCCGTCATCACAATGTTTTTAATAATATTTTTGTATCTTGTTTATTATTTTGGCGTGTTTTTGTTTAGCTCTACCGGTGGACGACAATACGATGGAGTCACTTGAAAGTGACGAATCAACAGCGACGTCCCGAGCCGTTTGCACCTCGCTCAACTTATCGAATGTGAGCCAAAGTTCATGTTAGGAGAGAATTACTAGTGTTAACAATCCCTGAAATCTGAGGTGAATTCAGTTGAACTCTTCGGATTTGGAGATTTCCGCCATAGAAGGGGACGGTGGACGCATCATGCGTCGTTTCAGAGGTAGACGATTACTTTCACTTTTTGTTTTCCTTATTCTGTTTTATTTTCTGTATTTCATTCATCATCAACCATATTTTGAAATTTAGTTCTTTGCAAGCTATGTGGATTATGGATCCCCGATAGTTCATGGATTAACGTCGTAGTGCCCAATAATGAGCGTTTGCTACCTAAACAGGTGTTAGGGGCACTATTGCACTATGTATTACAACCCCAGTAGGGGTGAGATGGGTCAAAAAATAATTTTCGCAGAAACTTCGGCTATGGAGGTTATCGAGGGTCCTCATCACGAATATGATATTCATTTTTCTTGACGCTGCGCCAATTTGGCGCCGGCGCCGCGGTGCATGGCATGTTCGCGCCCTCTCAGCGAGATAGTGTAGACCCTAACCGCCAGCTTTTCACGCATGTCAAGTGACTGCCCTCACTCCCACCCCCATAGACTGCCTACCCTCCCCGGCTTACGGATTTCCTGATGTGCGCAAACATGCCGCGCGCTGCGACAGCGACCGTCCCCCCCCCCGACCACTGAGCTCCAAAAAATTGGGGAAACTGGGCTCTCTCGGGCCCTAACAGCCTTGATCCCGCGCCACACTGATTGACCGCGACGCTTGTCACGGGAGGGCGGTCCCAACGCGAACGGAGGTACGGTAGAATTCAACCAGAGTCCTCATACGGATAATGGCTTATGGGGGGGGGTGAGTGATCATAGGTA